TAGAGGGAGCTTTAATCTGTATCTAAACCCATGCTGTCCCTGTCCCTGGGAGTGTTTAATGGTGGGGGGGACAGTGTAGAGGGAGCTTTAATCTGTATCTAAACCCATGCTGTCCCTGTCCCTGGGAGTGTTTGATGGGGGACAGTGTAGAGGGAACTTTACTCTGTATCTAACACCATGCTGTACCTTATAAGTGTTTTTCTGTAATCTCTGAAAGCTGTCCCATTCTCTTCCCCGTGTCTCTCGATAATAAATTGTAATGTTGAAGTAAATATGTTGATTGGATATTTGAATGTTTACATTGCCTAATAAAAATTGTCTTTCAGGTGGAGCACCTATGCACCAGGAATCCCCAAGTGCATTAAGGGAAAAAGTAGCAGTGACTTGCCCAAAGATGCACAATTTACTTTGGACCGAAAAGTGCACGTTGCTTTTAACCTTGATCCTGCGTAAGTATTCACTAAATGTCAAAAATTTACACTGTATAAAATGTATTGTTCATGAATGAGCAATGGAACATCCACTCAGTATTTCTGGCTGAATAGTTTCAAACGCTTCAGCCTTCTCTTTTACACCAAGTGTTGGGATCCTCTGTCGTTGAAAATGAGAATCTCTCTGGAAATCTCTCCGCCAGTTACAAACACTTGAATTAGATGCACTCACAGGGCTGATCTGTTTCTGGTTTGAATTCCACATTCGCATCTAAACCCACCCGCCAGTGACCCTGCATTTTCCCACCTGATGAGAATTGATCCAGCTCCATCTTAAAAATATCCAATGACACCACACCCCCTTGCCCCACCTCCACCACATTCTGGGGAAGAGAGTTCCAAAAGTTGCACAACCCTATCAAAATCATTTCTCTTAAACTCCGTCCAAAAAGGACAACCACTAATTTTAAAACATTCTCCAACCCTCCCCTCCCTCCCAGTGCTGGACAAAGAGGAGACATCCTTCCAACATCCATCCATCACCTCACTCTTTACTCTCTAAACTCCAGTGAATACAAGCCCAGTCTGTCCAACCCTTTCCTCACAAGAAAACCTGCTCCTTCCAGGTATCAATCCAGCAAACCTCCTCTGAACCACCTCCAATGTTAACCTTCCTAATGATTTGCTGTACCTGCACACTGACCTGCTACGGTTCGTGCAGCAAGACCAGATCCTTCTGGACCTAGGAGTTCTGCAATCTGTCTCCATTTAAATCATCTGCTTATTTTCCCAGCCAAAGCGGTCAAGTTCACATGTTCCCACATTATACTCCATCTGCCAAAGTGACACCCCCCTCACCCTGCTGCTGATATCCTTTTGCATATTTACTGTGAACATTTGTCTTTGCATTGTCAGTAAGTTTAGCTGCCATGCTTTTGGCCCCCACACCCGGGTGATGGGTGCAGATTGTAAATAATCTGCCCAGCTCTGATCCCTGTGGCACTCAACCTAAAAATGCCCCATTTATTAGGTAACCACTCCTCTATCCATATACTCTGTTTTCTGTTAGCTAATCTGTTAGCTATCAATGCTAATACATTGCACCCTACACCAGGAGCTACTATTTTGTAAAGTAGCCTTTGGTGTAGCACCTTGTTAAAAGCCTTATGGAAGCTCCCCATCAACCACATTACTCATTTCCTCTAAAGGTCTCACTAATAATAGAATCATGATTTCCCTTTTACAAAACCATACTAACTCTGCCTGATTGTGTTAAGTGCTCTGCTGTAAGCTCTCCTTGATAAAAGGAATTGAGTATTCTCCTGATGACAGATGTTAAACTAACTGGAGTCTGCTCTGGTGTCGAGGATATTGTGGCTGGTGAGCCTTACATAGTGATATGGGGAATTGTTGGAGAAGATTCTTAGGAACTGGATTCATTCACATTTGGAAAAATACGGATTTATTAGTAATAGGCAGCATGGCTTTGTTCAGGGTAGGTTGTGCCTCACAAACTTGATTGAGTTTTTCGAGGAAGTGACAAAGATGATTGATGAGCCTGGACAGTGAATGTTGTCTAAGTGGACTTTACAATGGCCTTTGACAAGGTCTCTCATTGCAGGCTGATGTAGAAGCTAAAATCAAATGGGATCTGTGGTGAGCTGGTCAGATGGATATAGAACTGGCTTTGTCATAGAAGGCAGAGAGTAGAGGTGAAAGGGCGTTTTACTGTGACCAGTGGCGTTCCACAGGGATCAGTGCTGCCACCCCTGTTGTTTGTAATGTATATGAATGTTTGGGAGAAAATGTGGGTGGCCTGATTTGTAAGTTTGCAGACGACACAAAGATTGAGGGAGCTGCAGATAGTGAGGAGTATTGCCAGAGGATACAGCAGGGTATAAATAGGCTGGAGACTTGGGCGGAGAAATGGCAGATGGAATTTACACTAGACAAAAGTGAGGTGATGCACTTTGGAAACTATACAGTAAATGGTAGAACCCTTAGTAGCATCAACATACAGAGGAATGTAGGCGTACAGGTCCACAGTTCCCTGAAAGTGGCAACACAAGTGGATACGGTGGTCAAGAAGGCATATGGCATGCTTACCTTCCTCAGTCAGGGCATAGAGTTGCTATGTTGCTCCTCTATAGAACTTTAGTGAGGCCACACTTGGAATATTGTGCATAGTTCTGGTTGCCACAGTACCAGAAGGACTTGGAGGCTTTAGAAAGGGTGCAGAAATAATTTATCAGGATGTTGCCTGGTTTGGAGTGTATCAGCTATGAGGAGTGATTAGACAAACTTGGTTTGTTTTCACTTGAACATTGGAGGCTGAAGGGTGACCTGAGAGAGGTTTACAAAATTATGAGAGGGATGGATAGAATGGATAGTCAGAGGCTTTTCCCCAGGGTAGAAATGTCAATTACTGATTGATATAAGTTTAAGGTAAAAGGGGGTAAGTTTAAAGGAGAATGTAAGAGGCAGGTTTTTATTTTACACAGAAGGTGGTAAGTGTCTGGAACATGCTGCCAGAGGAGGTGGTGGAGGCAGATACAATAGCAACGTTTAAGAGGCATCTTGACAGATACATGACTAGGCAGGGAATAGAGGGATGTGGACAAACATTTTCAGTTTAGAACATACAACATAGAACAGCACAGCACAGTACAGGCCCTTCGGCCCACAATGTTGTGCCGACCTATTATTCTACTCTAAGATCAAACTACCCTGCATACCCTACATTTTACTATCATCCATGTGCCTATCCAAGAGTCACTTGAATGTCCCTAATGTATCTGACTCCACTACCATCACTGGCAGTGCATTCCACGCACCCACCACTCTCTGTGTGAAGAACCTACCTCTGACATCTCCCCCTATAACTTCCTCCAATCACCTTAAAATTATGCCCCCTTGTAATAGTCATTTCCGCCCTGGGAAAAAGTCTCTGGCTATCCACGCTATCTATGCCCCTCATCATCTTGTACACCTCTGTCAAGTCACCTCTCATTCTTCTTCGCTCCAATGAGAAAAGCCCCAGCTCCCTCAACCTTTCCTCATAAGATCTTCCCTTCAGTCCAGGCAGCATCCTGGTAAATCTCCTCTGCACCCTCTCTAAAGCTTCCACATCCTTCCTATAAGAGGCGACCAGAACTGAACACACTATTCCAAGTGTGGTCTAACCAGGGTTTTATAGAGCTGCAGCATAACCTCATGGCTCTTAAACTCAATTCCCCTGCCAATGAAAACCAACACACCATATGCCTTCTTAACAACCCTATCAACATGGATGGCAACTTTGAGGAATCTATGGACATGGACCCCAAGATCCCTCTGTTCCTCCACACTGCCAAGAATCCTGCCATTAACCCTGTATTCTGCATTCAAATTCACCTTTCAAAATGAATCACTTCACACTTTTCTGGGTTGAATTCCATCAGCCACTTCTTTGCCCAGCTCTGCATCCTGTCAATGTCCTGTTGCAACCTACAACAACCCTCCACACTATCCACAACTCTACCAACCTTCGTGTCATCGGCAAACTTACTAACCCACTCTTCCACTTCCTCATCCAAGTCATTTATAAAGATCACAAAGAGCAGAGGCCCCAGAACAGATCCCTGCGGATCACCACTGGTCACCGAACTCCAGGCTGAATACTTTCCATCTACTATCACCCTCTGTCTTCTACTGGACAGCCAATTCTGTATCCAGACAGCCAAATTTCCCTGAATCCCATGCCTCCTTACTTTCTGAATGAGCCTACCATGGGGAACCTTATTGAATGCCTTGCTAAAATCCGTATACACCACATCCACTGCTCTACCTTCATCAATGTGTTTTGTCACATCCTCAAAGAATTCGATAAGGCTTGTGAAGCATGACCTGTCCCTCACAAAGCCATGCCGACTATTTCTAATCAAACTGTGCTTTTCCAAATAATCATAAATACTATCTCTCAGAATCCTCTCCAATAACTTGCCCACCACAGAAGTAAGACTGACTGTTCTGCAGTTTAGAAACTCATTATGTGCTAGTGCAGTCTCGGTGGGCTGAAGGGCCTGTTCCTGTGCTGTACTGTTCTTTGTTCTATTATCCCCAGGGGTACTCCCTTCTGACTGTACATCACTATGCTGCCATCTCTGCTGGACCTGTCCTGCCGATGGGATGGCATATGGTTGGGGATGGTAATGGTGGTAGTGTTTGGGTGAAAATAAAGTTATGCCCATGGAGACAGCTCTCCTGACTTCAGTGCAGGTTCCTGAATGTCATGTCTATGGCCAAGAGAATGTCAGCGTCCATGCTGCATTAGATTAGCTGCCTCTACATCTGCTGAGGTCATGGTGCTCACACAATGTCAAAGGGGCCACACAGCAGAAAAATAAGGATTGGTGTTTGCAGAGGACTGTGCGAAATACTGTTAGAATGTTAGGTTTCTGTTTAGCTTCTGAATTCTTTTCCAATGCTCCCCATGTCATTTTGGGGGGAGGTGGATGGAAATGGCCAGAGCCAATGGGAACACAGGGACAAGAATAGGCCACTCGGCCCTTTGATCCTGCTCTGCTGTTCAATAAGACAGTGTGCTGATCTGATATTAACCTCAATTCTACATTCCCAGGACGTTCTCCCCCTCCATCCCACCTCCCCATGCCCCCACCCCTCTGGGGGATCTTTCATCTGCCTGAGACCCTCACAATGAAGAGCCGCGAGGGGGTTACTGACGACATCCGACTCCACCACCCAGAGGCCTGGCCACTGTGGGTCCTGCCCCCAGACCTTAACCTTGTGTGAAGGGTGCAGCATAACAGCCTTATTGTGGACCCTTCTGCCCGACCACCCCACCCCGACCCCCCACCCCACTCCATCCCCACCCCCACCCTAGTGGAGGCAAATGTCAGAGCATCTGAAGCAGATTTTAAAAACTTCCAATGCCACACCTGGTTGTCATATCCTTAGTCGCACTGACACCCAGGAGGAACCAAACCAACTTTCTAAGGTCTATGTGGGTGACGCCCTCCCATTTCTGAACAAACCCATCAGAGAGGGTGCACTGCCAGATGTCAGAAACAGTGCGGCAGTGCCCGGTGGATCCTGCGCATTAATATCACTTTGTGGCTGCTCTCCGGCTGCAGGCTGAGGGGCCGGGCTGTGTGGGGGCGTTGTTGGTTTTAAGGAAGTGGCACAAACCTGGCACCAGCACTAAACCAGCTCGAGCTCAACCAGAAAGCTGATTCCAACGGAGACAGCAAGAACTGCAGATGCTGGAGTCAGAGTCGATACAGCGCGGGGCTGGAGGAACACAGCAGGTCAGGCAGCATTAGAGGAGCAGGAAAGCTGATGTTTCGGGTCAGGACCCTTCTTCAGAAATGTGCTGTCTGATTCCAGCATCTGCAGGGCTTGCTATCTCTAAGTGGAAGAGTGAACTTTTTCAGTGCTCATGGTGATTAATTATAAAATGTCTTTGTTAACTCAGCTTTCTCGAGCTTGGTCTGAACCCACTGAAGCTGCTTAAGAATGTCTGGACTAATGTGGGTGAATTCCGTAAATGTCTGGACTTCTGCAAGGTTCCAGTTGCAGGTAATTCTGAACAGTGCCCGGTGTTTCTCTGGCATTTTTGGATAAACAATAAGGTTTCTGAAAGGCTCTCTCACTCCTGAAGACAAACAGGTTACTGCCCGACTCAGGGTTTGACATATGATGGTGCTGCTGCTCACTCCTCACTGCAGGATTGTGTGTCCTTACACTGAGCGCAGTTCTGAGAACTGAAACTCCCCGTTGAGTATTTAATTCATCTTGACTCCCTGGCACTGGAAATTGAGCCCCACTCTTTCCTGAGCTGTCACTGAGTTGAAAAGGTTTAGTTAAACTATTCACCTATTTTCCTGGCTCTCGAACATGGGTTAAAACAATTGTAATTGAGAAGGAAATAACTGTATATTGCAAACAAATTATTTTTGACTAATGGCAATTGGTAAAAATGAATTGCTCACTTATAACTGCACAATTTAAACTCTAACCCTCCTTCAATTCCCCATTTCTCACACAAACAGACAGACAAAGACAGATAAGATACGGATATTAAGGGTGGATAGGAAAACAATTGGGGAAAGACAGTGCAATAGCACCAGTCTGGGCTTTGCTCAGCTGCTTTCTTTCTTTTCTAATTCCTTTTATGCCCTTTGCCAATGAGATGAAGTTGTTTGCTTACTGATGCTGTCGTTCATTTTCTGGTTGAGAGTCCATACTTTCACCATCTTTGGAGACAGTTTATTTCACCTTCAACAAGGAATTGCAGAGATACATGAGAATGGAAGGGAGCAAGCTATTAGAGGAGACTGTCTGGTACCTCCGCACAGGAGAGAGGGAATGAGAGAAAGATGTTTGCCACTTTCCCTCCGCAGACTTTACATTCTCTGCTGCACTGGGCCCACACCAGCCATGGTCACCTGGTCAGGAGCCAATCAGAATCTTGTTGTTAAGCAGTTTTCCATTAGTTCAGAGCCCACAGACTCTGCAGTGTCTGCTTCTGGTCTCAGGAGAAAACAACATTGTACATAGCTCACACTGAGCTCCACTATACATACATTTCAAAACTGCAGCCATCTCTTTGCACAGCCTCCTTGATTTAAAGCATTCAAACAAAACCTCTTCTCGTTCTGAAGACCAATTTGAATGAAGGATGATTTATTGTCTCTTGTACTCAACAAAGAACAACACGGTAAAATACATCGAAGAGCTTCAACTGCCGCCACAATCTGGTGTCATATTGAATAGTTTAAGAATAAAAAGGGAGTCCATCTTCATTCCACCCACTCCACCATGAGCCCTGTTGCCAAATCGGCAGTTTGATCTGGTCTGGGCAGTGCCATCTCTGTGACTGGCAGCTGCAGCTCACTCACTCAGCAATAATATTGCACTGCCATAGCCTGTCTCCCTGCATCCTGACTCATCTCTGTGCCTCATGGTGGCATAGTCCATAAACACAGCCATTGAAGGGAATTCATCAAGCAGTCTTTGCAACCACAGGCTGATGAGTCTAACATCAGCGGTGGGTAAGGCTTTGAAATAGATGATCTAGTCTGAGTTAATGATGTAGAGTGAGCACTGCTCTGTAAAAGGCACCTGCTGATGTAACTGAATTTCTTTGATGAAATAACAGAGAAGCCTGATGAAGGGAATGTGGTAGACGCTGTTTTTAGGGACTTCAAGAAAGTCTTTGACAGGTTACCACAGAGAGGTCTGCTTGGTAAAATTGAGGCTGGTGGAATAAATGAAATGGCTCAAGAACAAAAGAAAAAGACACGGTCAATATTTTTCAGAGTGGACCTGAGTGCTTGGGCATTGGATGGAATGGTAAGCACTGAGAGCAATATGAATGGTCTAAAACAGAACAGGGATACAGTAACAGAGTGAGCAGACAGGTGGCATTTGGAGTTCAATGGCAGGTATAAGGTATACATCTGTAAAATGGAATGGAGTGTGGCAATGTATATTTGACAGCCAAGTTTTAAAGAATGTGCAGAGTCAGAGGAACCTGGGAGTCCATTGATCCTTCAATGTGACAGAACACATTGAGAGCGATTAGCAAAGCTCAGCTTTGATGAGTAGACAGATTGAGTACAGAAGCAGGAAGGTTAATGCTGAACCTCTGTGGGTAGACTGTAGCCCTAGCTTTGTGCCCAGTGCAGGTCACCCACACTGTGGTAAGGTGTGAGGGGCCTTGTGAGAACCTAGAGGGGATTTACTGGAATGGTTCCAGTGGGGAAGGGAGACTGTCACTAACAAGGTTAGTTTGCAAAAGCTGGAGCTGTTAGAGCTTGAGATGAGATTTGATGAAGATTTTGTCAACCATTTTAATAGTTTAGATCCAGTCAACAAGAGTAGAACATAGAACATAGAACAGTACAGCACAGTACAGGCCCTTCAGCCCACGATGCTGTGCTGACCTATTATCCTACTCTAAGATCAAACTACCCTGCATATCCTGCATTTTACCATCCTCTATGTGCCTATCCAAGAGTTGTTTAAATGTCCCTAACGTATGTGACTCCACCACCACTGCTGGCAGCGCATTCCACACACCCACCACTCTCTGTGTAAAGAACTCTGCCTGTTAGCTGCAGGGGCAAAGACAAAGGGAATGATTTAAGATTTGTGGCAGGAGGTGCAGGGGGAACATGAGCAGGAACCATTTTATGCAGCAAATGGTAATGAGCTGGGAGCAGGGTCAATTAATGATCTCAGAAGGAAATTGGAGCTTCACTTTGAATGGGTTAAACATACAAGGTGAGTGGTACTGATTGGATTACACTGTGGAGAGTCACTATAAACCAAATGGGCCTAATGGACTCCTTCTGTGCTGTTAAACAACTCTACAGCCTCTGGAGGAAATTCCTCCTCATCTCAGTCTTAAATGAGTGACCCTTTATTCTGAGATTATACTCGCTGGAGCTAGGCTCTCCCACAAAGGGAAGTAACCTCCCCACATCTCTCCCTGTCAAGTACCTGAGAATCTTGTCTGTTTCAATAGCATTGCCTCCCACTCTTCTAACCTCCAATAAGTACAGGCCCGATCTACTTAACCTCTCCTCCACAAGATAGTCCCTCCGTACCAAGTACCACCTTCTCTGTACTGCCTCCAATGCCAGTCTACCTTTCCTCAGATAAGGGGCTCAAATCTATTCACAGTATAGAACATAGAAAATAAATCAGTACAGCAGAGTACAGGCCCTTTGGCCCACAGTGTTGTGCCGACCTATTATCCTACTAAGATTAATCTACCCTGCATACCCTACATTTTACTATCATCCATGTGCCTATCCAAGAGTCACTTAAAAGTCTCTAAAGTATCTGACTCCACTACCACTGCTGGCAGCGCATTCCACACGCCCATCTCTCTCTGTGTGAAGAACCTACCTCTGACATCTCCCCCATACCTTCCTCCAATCACCTTAAAATTATGCCCCCTCATAATAGTCATTTCCACCCTGGGAAAAAGTCTCTGGCTATACACTCTATCCATGCCTCTCATCATCTTGTACACCTCTATCAAGTCACCTCTCACCCTTCTTCGCTCCAATGAAAATAGCCCTAGCTCCCTCAACCTTTCCTCATAAGACCTGCCCTCCAGTCCAGGCAGCATCCTGGTAAATCTCCTCTGCACCCTCTCTAAAGTTTCCACATTCTTCCTATAAGAGGCGACCAGAACTGAACACACTATTCCAAGTGTGGTCTAACCAGGGTTTTACAGAGCTGCAGCATAACCTCGTGGCTCTTCAACTCAATTCCCCAGGGAAATTCTAGGTGTGGTCTAATAAGTGCCTTGTATGGCTTTAGCAAAACCTCCCTGTTTTTATACTCCATTCTATTTGAAATAAAGCCAACATTCCTCTGAGGAAGGGTCACCAGACCAGAAATGTTAACTCTGTTTTCTCCTTCGCAGATGCTGCCAGACCTGCTGAGCTTTTCCAGCAACTTCTGTTTTTGTTCCATTTACCTTCCCTATTACCTGCTGAACTTGGATGCTGGCTTTGTTGCGAATCATGGACACAGACTCCTGAATCCCTCTGTTCTGCAGCTTTCTGCAGCCTTTCTCCATTTAAATAATATTCAGCTCCTCTATTCTTCCTGCCAAACCGCATAACCTTGCATTTTCCATTACTGTATTGCAAGTGCCGAGTTTTGTCTACTCCCTTCACCTGTATACATTCCTTGCCCCTTGTAGATTTCCTCTGTACTTTTGTGCAGTTCAGCTTGCTGCTGTATTTTACAACAGACACCCTGTGCAAGTTACCAATATCTTTCTGATTTTAATCCTTCTATTTGATTATCTCTGGAGTCCTATCTTTAGGTATTTCCTGTCCCTCCCAATGGTAGTTGGAGCGTCTGAATAGGTATCTTGGTCAACATCAATTGACTCAGAACAGAGACATGCAGGCAGAACTGTGACTCGGTTTTCTAAAGAGATAATGCTGCCTGAAGCAAATAACAAGTTTCATCTGAAAACTCTTTACATTTATATTGGGAGGTGTTTGTAACTCGAGCTGCATTTCAAATAGGTATGTTGTCCCAAATGCAGAGTTAACTGGTGTACCTGTGTCAGCATGTTAAACCCAGAACTTGGTAAGGAGCCAGTTATATTTGCTGAAAGCACAAGCTTCTGCTCCCCTGACCTGTCAATCACAGGGATGGCTGTATTCACAAATGCCTTCTGCTGGAGGCCAGGGTTCATGGATGTGAGCAAACCCGGACTGCATTTAGGAAGTTTGGCAGTTGGCTATCTATTTCATTCATGCAGAGTAGGCCCCCTTCAGTAACTCTGTAAAACCACAGCTTGGTTCAATCTGAATGCAGCTTTTTAACTTATTGCATCTTCTCTGCTTTTTCACCCTGCGTTTCCTTGTGGCTTTAAGTGCCTTACCCTTCGTACAAGTCACTTGCAATGCAGGAAACACTTTGATTGTTACAGGAGAGTACAAACTGCCTTGTGTCCCGAAGGCTGAGCCTTCTTAAGTTGGCCCACTACTTATACACATCACCTTTGCTTCCAAAGCAGCAGCTCCCAGCTCTGGTTCAGAAGGATATGGATTGAGGGTTGTACTTTCCAAAGGAAAGTGGCTTCCTTCTCACAGGTGGCTATGTATAGAATTGAGCAGGAGCAGGTTGTTCGGCCCAGCTAATCTGTGCTGGCTCAGCCCAAGCAGCAGTAACCCAAAAAAGCAGCTCACCTACAGTTTACAGGTGGGTGGGGGTGACATGTCGGGGTTGGGGATATGGTCAAGGTGTTGTAGGCCGGGGGTTAGGCAGTTAGTGGGAGGGAAGGTTGGGCAGTTAGTCGGTGGGGGGGAATGTTGGACAGTTAGTCGGGGGGGGGGGGGGGG